CAAGTAGCTTATAGTACTTGTAGTACTATAGTACAATGATGGTGCACACACAGAAGCAGCTAACCTCAATGTAATATTGGGCAACTTGCACTCCTATATGCACTGGAAAGTGATTAAACTCGACTAAGAGTGATGTATTTAATCTCCCAAATGGAAATGCAGACTATGGCCTGGTTCCAGCCTCAGTGCTCTGACTGGGGAAGCTGGGTACAGCTGCTCTCTTTAGGTTGAACAAATCTTTGATATTCACAAGGGCCAAGTTTAATAACACTTTTGCTGCCAATTACACCGCCAGGCCACTGCAGGCTGGAAGAAAAATATGGCTCACTCCAAGCTGGGATATTACCTGTTTTGTAAAAGGCCCCTGCAAAAGCCAGAGTAATGCCATGACCATATTTCTAAGGTTTAGCCTAAGCTAGCTAAACCTTTCCTGAATGTTATAGTATAGCTGGAAGCTTATGCCTGAATCCCCTGCCTAATGCACACAGGTATAAGAGCATCAAACCAGGCTATTAATGAAAACACAGCGACACGCCTCCCTCCTCCTCTCACTTGTTAACAGCAGCTTCAAATCTCATCCTCTCTCTTCTTCTCCTCCCTCTAATCTCCACTCTCCTCTCCCTCCTAAGTAACCAGAGGGCTCTCCTCTCCTGCCTGATTTTTATTACTTCACACGAGCATATTCGCAATTTTGTTTCCTCACGCTCTTATCTCCATGTCACTGTCATTGCATTTGTTTTACATTTAATAATTCTCCATCTTTTTCGTAAGGCACAAATCTCATACTCATGCTGCTAAGGGAACTTTTATTACATTAGCTGCTCCAGTGGGTATTTTGGATATCACTGTGCTGGAGAAGACACTGCTACTTTTATTTAATGAATCCAAATGGGACAATTGTAAGATGACTGTGCCAATTTTCATCTCTTTCTGTATCCTTTTACTGTTTTCTCAGGGTTAAAAACTATAAAATCTTCCGGTGTATCTCTCTCTTTTCCTCTGTCCTTTTCACTTCACAAATATCCACCCTTCGTATTCCTGTATATGATGCCTACAGTGGGGCAAAAAAGTATTTAGTCAGCCAACGATTGTGCAAGTTCCCCCACCTGAAATGATGACAGAGGTCAGTAATTTGCACCAGAGGTACACTTCAACTGTGAGAGACAGAATGTGAAAAAAAAA